ACATCATCATCTACTGCAGGCAGCCATGGACACACGCTTCCCGCTCTGGCAGCTTCGACTTTTGATAGACGTTTACCGTGCACCGCGCGTGCTGGATCTTCAAGGGGTATGCAGTGACTTCACTGAGGTACAGCAAACGGTGGTTCCAGGATGCACGTTCGCTACGCTGATGCTGCAATTGTTACTGCTAGGCCCCCTTGGTAGAGTCCAGGCGGCGCATCGGTCAGTTGTATTAGCCGTCAACGTGGATGACTTCTCCCTACAGCGCTTCGGCGGCGAGGAGCGCGTGGGGGACGAGCTCCAGCAGTCAGCCGCGCTCCTTGTCTCCGAACTGCACAAAGTAGACATGCAGCTCGCCTTAGATAAAGGCAGGGTACTTAGCAATTCGCAGAAACTTCGACTTCGGCTCGCTCGCAACCTGCGGCACCTTGGGATTCAGGCTGCTGCTACCGAGCGCAACCTGGGGGTCGATTTCGCTTCTGGCAAAGTGCGTCCTAGACACACCGCCGCCGCTCGTTTCAAGGTCATCGAGAAACGTCGAGCTCGCATGTCAGCTTTAAAGTCAGGACGACCTCGAAGAAAGCTTCTAGGTCAGATGAGCCGAGCTGCGCTTGAGGGCGCTACCTCTTTCGGCACGGCCGCCACTGGAGTCAATGGCAAGGAGCTCAACACACTGCGCAGCTTAGCAGGCAAGCTTCAGGACCACAAGCAAGCGGGCAAGAGCCTCACTCTCGCTCTCTTGCTGGCGCCCACTAAGGACCTCGATCCCATCATCAGGGCCACGTGGTTGCCTGTTAAGTTATTCCTGCTCTGTTTGCATGAGTCATGGATGCCCCGTATGGTGTTAGACGCGAGCCTCAGGCAAGTTGACGCCCACCTCAGCCTCCTGCAGCACCCATGGAGCTCCACAGCGGGACCTGTGACTACTATTTGGGCTTCTCTTCATCGGGTTGAAGTTCGAGCTCGGTCTCTGGATTCTTGGAGTTTTCCTGAAGGGCGAGTTCTGAACATTTCTGAGACCTGCCCGTATGTTGTCAAGCAACATGTGATGCGAGCGGTATACCTTTGGCAGTGTGCGAAGATAGCCGAGCATGTCGAAGCACCCGAATTTCGTTCTGGTGTGCTCCTAGCTCCCACCCTGGCTTTTTTACGCTCTAAGGCTCTGCCGCAGCACCGTTCGTATGTACGATCGGTCGTGATTGGAGCCCAGTGGCAAATGGCGAGGCAGTGGAAAGCTGGCTACCCCGTGGACCCTCACTGCATTGCCTGCCTCGCCGCTGGCTCTGCAGCTGCGCGCAGCACGCACTGCAGCCCGAGCACCCACATGTCTTGTGTCAGTCTCTAGGCGGAATCGCCAGCAATGGCAGTCTCTCGCAGCTGCCCGCTGAGAGATGTGCAGTGCCGATGCCGATGTTGGAGCGTTCCTTACTTCCCGACCTCCCTCCTCTGCTCTGGGCCCATGGGTCCCCTGATCGGCTCACGGGAGATGTTTTCCTGGATGGCTCGATTTTGAAGGGGACATGGGACCCTGGGCCTCAGGAGGCTGGGCTGTGGTTGCTCTGTCCAGAGGCGCCCACCGGCACCTGGTGAAGCAAATCTGCGCGGGGCCGTGGTGAGAGCCGCGAGTTGATGGCCAGGCATCCTCCATCCACGCAACGGTAAGGCAAGTATGCACGGCACCGAGGCGATGAGGCGAGAGCTGCACGTCGATAGCCACCCGCCCTCCATCCTTGGCAAGCACCTGTCCCCTATCGAGCACTTTTCAGGCAAGTGTGCGCGGCGCCACTAGTTCAGGCAAGCGTGCACGGGTGGAGCACGTGTTCGTGCTCCACCTGTGGAGCTAAGAGCTGGATCTAGCTGGCCTGTCGTTCGCACTCCGTGATGGAACGATCTCGGGCGAAATGCCCAGCTTCCCCTTCGTGCCAAAACGGCAGGTGGCGTGAGGAGGAGGAGTAGGAAGAGGAGGCGGGACGATCCTCCTCCCCCGTCCCTCATGCCCCACTCCGCCCACCTCCCCCAACACATCATCGCATGCTCCTCCGAAGCGTGGACCCCCCCCTCTGGACGAAAGGCACCCCCCCCCGGACCTGCAGCGGCGCGAGCGGGGGGGCCAACCGCAGGAGCGACCCTCCTGTCCCCCCTCTTGCCTCGCAGCCCCTACCTCTTGGCGAGAGGGTTGCGCGCAGACGCCCCCCAGGGGTGTTCCAAACCGCCCTCAAGGGGCCATGGGCCCATGGGTCCCCTGATCGGCTCACGGGAGATGTTTTCCTGGATGGCTCGATTTTTGAAGGGGACATGGGACCCTGGGCCTCAGGAGGCTGGGCTGTGGTTGCTCTGTCCAGAGGCGCCCGCGCCCTCCGTGAGGTCTCTGCTCTGATGTGTGGCCCGCTCTTCTCTGAGTTTCCCACCACTAATGCGGCAGAGTTGACTGCCTTACTCTTGATTCTAAGTATGTATTCGACGGTGTGCTGTCCAGAGGCCGTGTGTATACCACTCAGGTGCTAGACGCACACTGATTTCTCTGGCGCGAGGTGTGGGCCAGGCTTGAAGATTGGGGTTTCGACGGTTCGGAGCTGTGTGAGGCGGTTCGTTTTGTTAAGGTGCCTGCCCACTCCTCGCGCGCGGATGTCCTGTCGGGTCGCGCTACGGCTCGTGACAGGCTCGGCAACGACATGGTCGACCGACACGCCAAGTGGGCGGCCCAGGCCTTCCGAGTGCCGCCGCCGCAAGCTGCTGCGGTCGCTTCCAGAACCAAGGTTTTGAAGTCCTGGGTGAAGTGGGTGGGCAAGGTGGGTGAGAACCTCCCCGACTCCTCCCACCCCCCTCGCTCCAGCGTGGTAAACCTCCCACCCCGCAGCTCCTGCTTGTGCAGGAGACCCTTCCCCAGGACATTGTTTCGCGTGCTGCCAGAGCTTCCCAGGCCCTCCGCGTTAAGGGCGAGAGGTCTCATGCTCTGGTCAAATTCTCTCTCCAGGACGGTGTCGTCCTGATTGGCTGCTCTAGCTGCGGTGTCATCTCGTCGTCTCGCCTCTCCAGTCTCTCTTCCTGTTGCGCAGGGGGTCTTCCTGCCTGGGCCAAGAAGATTTGGGACAGGCTCAGACGTTGTGAGTATCGGCGCACTGCAGCGGGTTCCTCTCGAGTTCTCAAAGTGCTGGCCACTGAGCCCGCGCTGCAACTCGTTCGGTGTTGCTTTCGGTTGCTCGTCGGATGATCTTCGGCGCGCAATGTCTTGCGCAGGAGGAGGGGGAGGAGGAGGAAGGGGAGGAGGGGGAGGAGGGAAGGAGGAGGAGGAGGAGGAGGAGGAGGAGGAGGATAAGAAGGAGGGGGAGGAGGGAGGGAGGAGGAGGAGGAGGAGGAGGAGGAAAAGGAAGAGGAGGAGGAGGAGGAGGAGAAGCAGGAGGAGGAGGAGGAGGAGGAGGAGGAGGAGGAGGGGCGGCGAGGCAGGAGGGACGAGGAGGAAGGAGGGACGACGCGGAGGAGGGACGAGGATGCGGAGAAGACGAAGGAAACCGAGGAGAGGAAGGAAAGAACGAATCAAACGAACCCAACACGTTCCCGCGATACAGTCACACACCCTATCGTCCCAATCTCCCTTCCCGCCAGTCCCCGCAATCATCCCTGATCGCTACGGGAGGCGATCTCTCGAAAGACGAGCGTCCTGGGCCTGCCATTCAGGCGAGGGAACGAATAGAAAAGTAGTCGTCCATCCATCTACCTGGAAGACTTGCACCCGATAGTACCGACAAGCTCGAGAAGGTGCCAACCAATAGCCCGCTCCTACAACAGATGCGCAACTGCACGCAAACGAAACATTTGCACGACAAGAATGCGCCCGCAACCCGTGCAAGTGCTGCATTTCTGTCTCCCCACGTCGCGCAGTCCCACCAGCTCTGTAGACGTGCGTGTCTAATGTCTCAAAACGCTTGAAGCAACTCATCAGGGGGAAGGTGAAACCATAGTTCTCCCCCAGCTGCGCGGGCCATGAGTAGATTATAGGCGAGCCTGGGGCGTGTCAAGGAAACAGGCCACGTGGGCAGTTGAGCCCAGTGACGATTGCCCATGGATCCGCATGATTCCCCAGGGGTGCCAAATGACGATTCCTCTAGCTTTCGGCGGTCGGTGGCGGCGGCTGGGTGGGCGTGGAAACTGGATGCTCAATGCAAGCGTGTTCTGTGTCGTTGTGCCCCCGCGGGGGTAGGTGGGTAGTCCGTGCATGTAGATGTGTAAATGTGTAGTTATACGTCTATGCAGGTATGAGCACACATACGTCTCGGTTGCATCGAGCGCTGTCCTTCACAGATGTTCTGGGGGAGCACTGACAACAAATGCGGATTTGGCGGCGATGGAATCGCGTCCGGGATCTTGGGGGGCGGGGGGGAGGGGGGAAGGGGGGGGGGGGCAGAATGTCCTCAACCAGTTTCAGACATTAACAATTCCAACAGTTGCACCCCCCATTCTCCCCTGTCGGGGAGGGACCTGCCCCTCCCCCCCCCCCCCTGGGACTGGGCGGGGGGGCGCGATGGGGTAAAAGACCCGCGCGCGCTCAACGTGGCTGAACAAAACCCAGGGAGGCCTTCAAAATGGCGCGAGGTATGCCAAACTGGGCCAAGTCTTCTGTCCACCGTGTCTCCAAGAAGCCCCGACGCGCTCTCGAGCGTCAGATTTCCGAGCAAGGCCGCAGTGAAACCATCATTGCGAGTAGCGCCAAGAAGGGGGCCCAGACTTCCGAGCGAGCAGTCAACAATCTCAACAGCAACCCAGGCGCGCGCACGACCGCTCAAGGATGCCCCCGAAGTGCCGAAAGCCGCCAGCCATCTCGTTTATACAATGCGGTTGTGCTTCTTGCCGTTTTCGCTTGCAGTGGAGATCTGCCGCGCCCAGGCGGCCCGAATAAAATGCCCGAGACAATTCTGATATGGGCTCCGAGGCGGACCCTGAGACTTTCAATGGCACTCCCAGATCGCCCTAAGAGCGCACCCAGCGACGTGGTGTTTTCTTTATCATCCCCCTTCCCTCCAGCGTTCGAGGGGCCAGAACGGCGGCGGCGGCTGTGCCGAGGCAGGACTTCAACCCACAGAGCAGCGCGATGAGCACAGGGAGGCACGACTGCAGAACAATACCTCCTGTGACCAAAGCTGCAGTCCACTGAGCCACAATGATTTGATACCCACGTCGTCATCGGCCCCGAGCCACGATTGAAAATGCGGCGGCGCACGCCGCAGGCCGAATTCGGCCCCCCCTTTCTAACCTGAATCGGCGCAGTCCTTCTTGGCCGGGCGTTGCCTCGCGAATTCTGGGCTGAATCTCACAGTGAAAGCAGCACGTTCCGCGCGGCATGACGCGATCCCCAGCAACTCAGGCGTCGTGAAAGCGGGTGAGGCAGTAAATCTGCGACGAAAGGAACCACAGTTCTACCTGTAATACTCGCTGCCAGTGTCGTCCCCCTGGCCAATTGGCGTCATGGTCATGTGGACACTGCAGCGCCGCAGCGGCCAAACCAACGTCCCATGCACAACGCAGAGGCACATGACAACGCAGTATTCGGACACGCGCATCGCCATAGAAATGTAGTGCCCCCTGTCTCCGTTGAAAACCTCTGATTCAAGCGCTCCCATCGCAGACACTTCACCTGTGATAGCGCCAAACGCCAGCACTTGCAGGCTGACAGGCCATGTGATTGAACCAACCTTGTGCAGTGCAGCGAAAGCTGTAATGCAAAGAAATGCTTGAACGAGAGCCGCTTCCAAGAACAGGACCAAACGCACATAATGCAAATGGTTGATTTCCCCAGTCACCTCTGCACTTGAAGCGTGGCCACCGTGATAACTCCAGCTGAAAGTTCCGACCAGCCACATGCCAATATTAGATGCTGCGGCGAAACAGATTAGAACCCATACTTAAAACCGACGCAAGCATGGTTGCCAAATTTCAGGTAAATGCACGTCGGTAAACAATACGAGCAAGCACGCATTAAGAAATAAGAATGCGGCTGACAGGGCCAACCAGACTGCCCAACTTCGCTGATGGTCGTCAGCTCCGGCCCCACGGGGTCCTTGGCAAGTCTTTCCCAACATTGAAACAATATAGCTGGGATTCGCAATGTTATGCTGGCAGTGCCCAAAGCAGCCATCCCAACCCAGCAGACGCGAATTGGCCTGTGCAGTGATGTTCCTGTCGTGTGTCGTTTCAGCAAATGACTGGGTCGACCAGGCGCAGTCATCGTTCACAAACCGGACAGGCGAAGGCCAGAAGTACAACTCGAGTGCAGGTGGCTTGGGCCCAAGCTGCTACCGAATACCCAATGGCGATCTTTCAGCCTCCGACACAAACTGATTCCAACGTCTGGCACGGGAATCGGCCGAGCCCGAAGAAGGCCCCAAGAGAGTCTAGCATGGTCTCCAATGGCGCGGCGCCTCTTGCGCGGGGGGGGGGCAAGATAGCTCCAGGAAGCGAGCGATTGCACGGTGGACTCCCAGCCTCTGCCTCCCCCTCCGCCGCGACGTAAAACTCATATAGAGACGCTGCAGCTCGCCGGAGAAGGTACGGGATGGGCGCGTGAAGGTGACAGGACTGTTGCCTTGTCTCCTCTGTGTCACTGCATGCTCCCGCGCCGCCCCGGCCAAGGCACTTCGCCTAGGAATCGCTGCCGGGTGGGCCGGTCGGGATACGCGAAGCATCAGCAACCCAAACGGAGGTCAAGCGAAGGACCCAGTGTGAAACGGGAGCGCCATCCGTCCTCGAAGCTGTGGATACAGGGAAGCGGCCGAGGGGCCGTTCCTGTATAGGGTCCGTTGGTAGAGGCTTCTTTTCCTGGGCACTGCGCAGCGAACAGTGCTCTCCAAGGTTAGCTTGCCAATGCCTGAGCCAATACAGCTGCGGAAGTGAGCGGACTTCACACACAGAAACTGCGGGAGGCCTGCAGGACAGATCCGACGAGCGCTGGGGCGGACGTCACATCTTGAAGCCCACCCGCCCTCCATCCGCGGAGCGGCCGGCACCTGGTGAAACAAAT